GGGGTGGATTTTGAAGGAAACTACCTAGTATGGGCCAACAGGCCTGCCATGTATTATTATTAGTCTATGTTTGTAAAAAAATTTAAATTTTTTTATTAATTTAAGGGGAAATGGTGCAAGATCCAAATTTCCCTTTATCAAAACCCCCCACGAGGAACCTCCCTTGAGGGGAAGTTCACAAACCCGAAATTTCGTTCGTATCCGAAAAAAAATCAATCGGGGGCTGTTTGTACCGAAAATTTTGCATAGGGGGGATTCGAAGGGGAGGGTTTCCCCTGTATTTTTGGACATGTATTGGTAATAAAAGCTGTTGAGTAACTTCGGTGTAGTACATGTTATTGGGGGCCAGGTTTAAGTGAGCTTGATATCAGAATGTGAAAAAAACTTGGGGGTCATGGTAAACAAAATCTAAGCCAAAACAGCAGTGCTTTGTGTGCTAACAAGGCAACAGTTTTCTAGGTTTATCCTTAAGTATTTTGTAACAGAAGTCCCCAAAATTATTTTTAGGCTTTATACCTCATAGGAGACCTCATTTAGTTATGCCCCTCAGTTTTGGCCCTTATACAGGAGGTATAGACTTGTTTGGAAACTTAAGGAAAAATGACTAAAAAGATTTATGTGTAAGGAGTCTCCGTTTGAAGATAGACTTAAAGCCCTTAAAAATCCCTCCGGGAGGAAAAATTTGAGGAGAGAACATTGAAGTGATAAATGGATGAGGGGGAAAAAAAAGGAGATATTTAAAAAATATGGGGTGTCGAACCCGGTGAACCCGAAATAATGGTTTAAGTAGGAAAAATTTAATTTTGAAAAGGGCTAGTAGTCTGGTTTTTCTAACAGAGTTGCGGATGCATGGAACAATCTTCCAGTAGGGGGATCGAGCTTGGGCCCTTGGGTGGCTTTAAAAGATTGGACAAATTTTATGATGTGAAACAAAAATAGGCGTTAATTCACTCTGAGGAGGGTAGCAAAGAACTCCCGGAAATTGGACAAATTAATCTCTGGTCTGAAAAAAGGCAGATGAAAATTCTGTGGTAAGGTAAGGTACTAGCCCCCTTTGGGGATTTAAAATAACCCTTTAAGCTATAACTAGGGGAAGTTGGCTTGAATACGAATTGAAGAAGTTTTGGAGTCATGGTAAGCAGAAATCCCAATCAAAAAGCAGGGCCCTTTGTGTGCGCAACAAGGCCAACAATTCTTGGATTACCTCAAGAAGTATAAGTAACAGAAAATCCAAAGTTATTTTTACAGCTTATACATCATAGTGAGGCCTCATTTGATTTTGCTGCTTATTTTTTGGTCCCCTTACTACAGGTGGCATAGCTCATTAGAGAACATACAGAGAAGAATGACTAAAATGATTTACTGTGTAAGGAACCTCCCTATGAAAATAGATTAAAAACCTTTTTAATCTCTACTCTCTGGAGGGCGAAGAATGGGGGGGGATACATTGAAATGTATAAGGGAGAGGGCTAAATAAGGGGGAATTTTAAAAAGTACTGGGGTGTCGAACCCGGTAAAAACCGAAAAAAGGATTTAGTTGGATAAATTTAGATTTAGAAAAAGGGTGTAGGTAAGTACAGTGGACCCCCCCTAACGATATTAATCCCTTTGAGATCATTGTTATCGAAATTATCGTTATGCGAATGAATTTTCCCCCTAAGAAATAATGGAAATCAAATTTAAACCATGCAAAAACCCAAAAGTATGAAAAAAAAAAATTTTACCCTGAAAAAATTTTTTTTCCACAACAAAAAGGGGAAAGGGTAAAACACATAGTAGAGTAGTACTGCCAATATTTTATTGTGTGTACTTCTACTAATGAAGAATAATGACACTTACCTTTTTGAAGTCAGCAATGACTGATGAGACACTGGTCCCGGGGTGCCTTTTCCCTGAGTACTGTAGGTCCTGTTGGCATTTTCTTCCGAAAAAAAAGGCCATCAACTGTGTATGCCCCTAGATTCTTAATCTCTCAAACCAACCTTGCGGCTTTAAATTACCAAAGGCACTAGTTCCCGGCATTTTTCCCTGTTCCCCGGGGGTTAGTTGCTGGTGTGGGTTGCATCGGGAGACAAGATTTAAAGGGCCCAATGGAAAAAAATTAAATCTTCGATACATGACTTTTTTTGGGGTATCCTGGGGGAACCCCTGGGGGTTAATTGTTTCTTGGGGATTCTCAATAAGCCAACCAACAACGGTTTGGTACAGCAGCAGCAGCAGCGCGACAGTGCACAGCAGCAGCAGCGACTGACTGCTCGCAGCAGCTGACGGTCAACACAACGGTGCTACGCACCAGCAGCGGTACTACAGCAGCAGCACAGCAGTGACGGTGGTCACGCCAACAGCGACGGGGTGTACAGCAGCCGCAGCAGCTGACAGTGCTACAGCAGCAGCAGCATCAGCATTACCATGGGACCCCAGATTTTGTAATTTTCTCACCCTTTTTACCCAGGGTTGGGAATAGAAGCTTTCTTGGGGCCCATGGTCATATTTTGCAGAAAAAATCACCAAAAACCCCGTAATAATACGAAATGTTCCTTGTATGCTTGGATGTTACCCCCGGAGGTGGGGGGTAAACAATGCCACGGGGAACATGTGAGGTGGGTGGCCTCACATAGATGCGCTCGGGTGAAAGCGTTAGGGGGTTTTTTTGCGGATGCAGGCAAAAATTTAGCGATAAAAGCATCGGAGGGATTTAAGTTATGTTGCAACGGATGGGGGGTCCCTTATTGTTTTCTACGAGTTGTGTGCTGGAACAGTCTTCCGGGGGTGATAGGGCTAGGACCTTGGGGAGCTTTTAAAAAGAGAGGACAAAATAGAGTGGGAGGGGCTGGGTTTTTATTTGTGTCTTGGGTTGGGAGTTATTTCTTGGGTAATTTAAAAGGGTCGTTTTGAAAAAATGCCTTGCATGGGCCAGTAGGCCCTTTTCCGGTTCCTCCCTTCTTTGTTCTTATGATGGGAGGGGCTGGGTTTGATTGGTGCATTGGGTACAGGAGCAAAATTTTTGAGTAGCTTTGGATAAGGTCTTTTGATAAGGACTTTCCCTTTCTGGGCCAGTAGGCCTTCTGCCTGTTCCTCCACCTTTTTTTTTTATATTCAGATACTTTTTTGTTACCCCAGGGAGTGTAAAAAGGTGGGTGGGATACAAGGAAAAATAGAACTCAGGGAAAAAGAGAGAGGGAAGGTTTATAAAATAAAAGGGGAGGCAGTTTTGGGAAGATATAAACAATATTGGGGGAAGTGGGCTAGTGGGATAAGCAAGGGGTCGAAGAGTATGGGGTAGGTTTAAAAAAAAGGGAGGGAAAATTTAGAGGAATTGTTTAAAAAGGGGAAATGGGAAGTGTGATTTTGTGATAGGGGAAGGGGAAAACATCTTGTAGGAAAGGAAAGAGCCAGTTGTGAGTGGGAAAAAATTCAAAGAGGGAGTGGGTAGAATGAAAGGGGGTAAGGAGCTGGGGTTGATGGGATAAAGATAGAAATGTTTAAAAACAGGTGGGGCTTTTGTTTTGAGGGTTGGGCTATTATTTAATAAATATATGGAAGAGGGTAAAAGGGACCTAGGGATTGGGAGAGGGGCATGCATAGTTCCTTTTTTAAAAGGGAAAGGGGAAAAAAAGAGTGCCCAAAAATTATTTGGGGAAGTCTGTTGAATATACCTGGTAAAGTGTATGGTAGAGTTATTATTGAAAGAATTAAGAGTAAGACAGAGAGTTTTTACGAGGATAGTTAGGCTCAGGTTAGAGTAAGAAGAAAAGAGGGAGATTATTTCCCAGTAAAAGAAGGTCTTAGACAAGGATGTGTGATGTCACTGTGGTTGTTCAATGTATTTATAGATAGGGTTGTAAGAGAAGTGAATGCAAGGGTCTTGGCAAGAGGCATGGAGTTAAAAGATAAAGAATCAAACATAAAGTGGGAGTTGTCACAGTTGCTTTTTGCTGATGACACTGTGCTCTTGGGGAATTCTGAAGAGAAGTTGCAGAGGTTGGCGGATGAATTTGGTAGGGTATATAAAAGCAGAGAATTAAAAGTGAATATGGGAAAGAGTAAGGTTATGAGGATAAAAAGATTAGGTGATGAAAGATTGGATATAAGATTGGAGGGAGAGAGTATGGAGGAGGTTAATATATTCAGATATTTAGGAGTGGACGTGTCAGCGGATGGGTCTATGAAAGATGAGGTGAATCATAGAATTGATGAGGGAAAAAGGGTGAGCAGTGCACTTAGGAGGCTGTGGAGACAAAGAACTTTGTCCTTGGAAGCAAAGAGGGGAATGTACGAGAGTATACTTTTACCAGCGCTCTTATATGGGTGTGAAGCATGGGTGATGAATGTTGCAGCGAGGAGAAGGCTGGAGGCAGTGGAGATATCATGTCTGAGAGCAGTGTGTGGTGTGAATATGATGCAGAGAATTCGTAGTTTGGAAGTTAGGAGGAGGTGCGGGATTGCCAAAACTGTTGTCCAGAGGGCTGAGGAAGGGTTGTTGAGGTGGTTCGGACATGTAGAGAGAATGGAACAAAACAGAATGACTTTGAGAGTGTATCAATCTGTAGTGGAGGGAAGGTGGGGGTAGGGGTCGGCCTAGGAAAGGCTGGAGGGAGGGGGTAAAGGAGGTTTTGTGTGCGAGGGGCTTGGACTTCCAGCAAGCATGCGTGAGCGTATTTGATAGGAGTGAATGGAGACTAATGGTTTTTAATACTTGACGTGCTGTTGGAGTGTGAGCAAAGTAACATTTATGAAGGGATTCAGGGAAACCAGCAGGCCGGACTTGAGTCCTGGAGATGGGAAGTACAGTGTCTGCACTGTGAAGGAGGGGTGTTAATGTTGCAGTTTTATAAACTGTAGTGCAAAGCACCCCTCTGGCAAGACAGTGATAGAGTGAATGGTGTTGAAGTTTTTCTTTTTCCGGCCACCCTTTCTTGATGGGAATCAGCCAATGTGTTAATAAATAAATAAATAAAATCAAAACTTTTCTTTAAAGCTGACAGCTGTATTTCTTTCAGAACTGCATGGCCCCTCTCACCAAGGAAGATAGTTTTAATGCAGTCAATCAAGAAGAACTGAGAACAAATGCTGAATCAAGTGGGCAACGCTTCCTGGACTTAGCTAGACAAATGGAGGCATTTTTTTTGCAAAAACGCTATTTATTGTCAATCCAGAAGCCAGAGCTAATTCTCTTGGAGGTAAGTACACTACAGTACAGTAAAGCAGCCAGGAATACAACTACCAATTTAATCTAAAGGTTTTTCATGTATTGTAGCATATACAGTACAGTAATATATGATAATCAGCAAACAACAACAAACAAAAAAGTTTTTCTTTTTTAAAGGTTACAATGTGTGTTTACATTTCATAATTAGACTGGTACAAAGAAAGCCACTATCATGCCAGGGCATTTCGGGCAGACTTAACCTAATACTTAAGACTACAGTGGAACCTCAACTTACGAGTGTCCCAACATATGAGTTTTTTGAGATATGAGCTGTCACTTGGTCGATTTTTTGCACTAAGTTACGAGCCAACATCCAAGTTACGAGCGAGCTTCCCCCTCAACCTACAACCCGCACACCTCGCTTGTTTATCTATGATTTCATGCTTTAATTCCATGGACATCATCTTTTTCTTCTCAACACTGTCCTTTGCACTTTCTTTCTTGGGACCCATGGTTAGAAAAAAGAAATTTGGCAAAGTAACTCTACAAAATGTAAGCAAAACACGAGAAAAATGCTTCCATGGTGAGGTAAACAGTGTACTGAGTTGTTGGTACAGGTCCTCCATCACAAATCCGGCATCATTGGGATCTGTAGTGTACCGGATTACTGAGTTTGCCGAATTACAGAGTGGTTAGGTTAGAATACACTTAATAAAATTAACCAACTTGACTTACACAGTTCATTGAACATCGGCAAAAATCGAACATTTCCGCTACTTTGAGCTCAATTTCAAGGCACTTTTCATTATGAAAGCAATCAAAATCATGTCTATTTCTGTAATATATCTTCCATTCTATCAAATGAGTCCAAAAAATGAGAATACAACCATAAAAATCTTTCGAAAATATACTGCAAAGAGGCGGCAAATGGCTGAGAAGTGAACTCCCTTATTTATCATCTGTCTTTTTTATTTTTGTTGTACGTTAAGAAGCATCTTTCCATCATACATTGCCCAAGTTTCAATGAGATAGCCCAACAAACAACCGAGAAAAAAAAAATATTACCAAAAATCATATATGGCAAGCCCAAGCCAGGTACTGGAAATAAGTCACTTTGTTTGACTTTTCTGGGTTATCCTAGGTTCTCTATACATACACTGCTATGTATGATAATCTATGTAACTGTATTTGTGTATACCTGAATAAACTTACTTCTAGTCTTTCAACTGAGTACAAGAAACCACCCATTCACTTATTTCAACTACCCAATAAAGTGGTCAGAAATTGGCAATTTGGCCAATTTCACACAAATTTCAACAGATGCCAATTTCAAAATAGGATCCAGAATAAACAATGCAGACATTCCTGGCACTAAAATAACATTTTCTCTGTTCATTAGTCAAGGCTACAGGCCCCTCTTATATTACTCTTGCTTACCATTTGGAATTTTTATTCACAAAAAAATAGAAGATTTACTGTTATGCAGACTACTGCATTATTGTAATACTTGTATAAATAATGTCAATCCATTCTTGGCTCCGTACTGGAATTTGGGCTGGCAGGCAGACAGGTATTGGACGGTGACGCCATTTGTTTACTCTTGAGCTTCACTAAAGAATAGAACATTTTCACTACTGTGAGCGCAATTTCAAGGTACTTTTTGTCATGAAAGCAATCAAAATCATATCTATTTCTGTAATATATCTTTCATTCTATCAAATGAGACCGAAAAAATGAGAATATAACCATAACAGCCATACAAAAATATACCGCTAAGCGGTATATTATATATACCGCTAAGCGGTATATTATATATACCGCTAATGGCTGAGAAGTGAACTCCGCTATTTATGGTCTGATTTCTTTCGTTTTTGGTGTACGTGAAGAAGTATCTTTCCATCATACATTGCCCAAGTTTCAGTAAGATAACCCAACAAACAACTGAGAAAATAATAATAATAATAATAACAATAATAATATTATAATAATAATAATAAGATCTTTATTTACTACACGTACATGTACAAGGAAGGAAGAGTATATGGAGAAAAAGAGAGAGGTTAAGAGAGTGGTGAAGCAATGTAAAAAGAGAGCAAATGAGAGAGTGGGTGAGATGTTATCAACAAATTTTGTTGAAAATAAGAAAAAGTTTTGGAGTGAGATTAACAAGCTGAGGAAGCCTAGAGAACAAATGGATTTGTCAGTTAAAAATAGGAGAGGAGAGTTATTAAATGGAGAGTTAGAGGTATTGGGAAGATGGAGGGAATATTTTGAGGAATTGTTAAATGTTGATGAAGATAGGGAAGCTGTGATTTCGTGTATAGGGCAAGGAGGAATAACATCTTGTAGGAGTGAGGAAGAGCCAGTTGTGAGTGTGGGAGAAGTTTGTGAGGCATTGGGTAGAATGAAAGGGGGTAAGGCAGCTGGGATTGATGGGCAATGTTAAAAGCAGGTGGGGATATAGTTTTGGAGTACTTGTTGGTAAGAGGGTATGGAAGAGGGTAAGGTACTTAGGGATTGGCAGATAGCATGCATAGTTCCTTTGTATAAAGGCAAAGGGGACAAAAGAGAGTGCAAAAATTATAGGGGGATAAGTCTGTTGAGTATACCTGGTAAAGTGTATGGTAGAGTAAGACGGAGAGTAGGATAGCAGATGAACAAGGAGGCTTTAGGAAAGGTAAGGGGTGTGTAGACGAAGTGTTTACAGTGAAACATATAAATGAACAGTATTCAGATAAGGCTAAAGAGGTTTTTGTGGCATTCATGGATTTGGAAAAGGCATATGACAGGGTGGATAGGGGGCAATGTGGCAGATGTTGCAGGTGTATGGTGTAGGAGGTAGGTTACTGAAAGCAGTGAAGAGTTTTTATGAGGATAATGAAGCTCAAGTTAGAGTATGTAGGAAAGAGGGAGATTATTTCCCAGTAAAAGTAGGCCTTAGACAAGGATGTGTGATGTCACCGTGGTTGTTCAATATATTTATAGATTGGGTTGTAAGGGAAGTAAATGCAAGGGACTTGGCAAGAGGCATGGAGTTAAAAGGTAAAGATTCAAATATAAAGTGGGAGTTGTCACAGTTGCTTTTTGCTGATGACACTGTGCTCTTGGGAGATTCTGAAGAGAAGTTGCAGAGGTTGGTGGATGAATTTGGTAGGGTATGTAAAAGAAGAAAATTAAAGTGAATATAGGAAAGAGTAAGGTTATGAGGATAAAAAGATTAGGTGATGAAAGATTGGGTATCAGATTGGAGGGAGAGAGTATGGAGGAGGTGAATGTACTCAGATATTTAGGATGGGTCTATGAAAGATGAGGTGAATCATAGAATTGATGAGGGGAAAAGGGTGAGCGGTGCACTTAGGAGTCTCTGGAGACAAAGAACTTTGTCTTTGGAAGCAATGAGGGGAATGCATGAGAGTATAGTTTTACCAACGCTCTTATGTGGGTGTGAAGCATGGGCGATGACTCTTGCAGCGAGGAGAAGGCTGGAGGCAAAGGAGATGTCGTGTCTGAGGGCAATGTGTGGTGTGAATGTAATGCAGAGAATTCGTAGTTTGGAAGTTAGGAGGAGGTGCGGGATTGCCAAAACTTGTCCAGAGGGCTGAGGAAGGGTTGTTGAGGTGGTTCGGACATGTAGAGAGAATGGAATGAAGCAGAATGACTTCGAGAGTGTATCAATCTGTAGTGGAGGGAAGGCAGGGTAAGGGTTGGCCTAGGAAAGGTTGGAGGGAGAGGGTAAAGGAGGTTTTGTGTGCGAGGGGCTTGGACTTTCAACAAGCATGCACAAGCGTGAATGATACGACTGAATGGAGACAAATGGTTTTTAATACTTGACGTGCTGTTGGAGTGTGAGCAAAGTAACATTCATGAAGGGATTCAGGGAAACCGGCAGGCCGGACTTGAGTCCTGGAGATGGGAAGTACAGTGTCTGCACTGTGAAGGAGGGATGTTAATGTTGCAGTTTTATAAACTGTAGTGTAAAGCACCCTTCTGGCATGACAGTGATAGAGTGAATGATGAAAGTTTTTCTTTTTCGGGCCACCCTGCCTTGGTGGGAATCGGCCAGTGTGTTAAAATAATAAAAAAAAATTCCTTCTTATTTCGATTGTAATTCTCACCCTTTTCACCACATGGTTGGTACTAGATGCTTTCTTTGGGCCCGTGGTGGCTTATTTAACAGTTTTTTTTTTTTTTTTTTTTTTTTTTTTCAACAAGTCGGTCGTCTCCCACCGAGGCAGGGTGACCCAAAAAAGAAAGAAAATCCCCAAAAAGAAAATACTTTCATCATCGTTCAACACTTTCACCACACTCACACATTATCACTGCTTTTGCAGAGGTGCTCAGAATACAACAGTTTAGAAGCATATACGTATAAAGATACACAACATATCCCTCCAAACTACCAATATCCCAAACCCCTCCTTTAAAGTGCAGGCATTGTACTTCCCATTTCCAGGACTCAAGTCCGACTATAAGAAAATAACCGGTTTCCCTGAATCCCTTCACTAAATATTACCCTGCTCACACTCCAACAGATCGTCAGGTCCCAAGTATCATTCGTCTCCATTCACTCCTATCTAACACGCTCATGGACGCTTGCTGGAAGTCCAAGCCCCTCGCCCACAAAACCTCCTTTACCCCCTCTTTCCAACCCTTTCGAGGATGACCCCTACCCCTCTTTCCTTCCCCTATAGATTTATATGCTTTCCATGTCATTCTACTTTGATCCATTCTCTCTAAATGACCAAACCACCTCAACAACCCCTCTTCTGCCCTCTGACTAATGCTTTTATTAACTCCACACCTTCTCCTAATTTCCACACTCCGAATTTTCTGCATAATATTTACACCACACATTGCCCTTAGACAGGACATCTCCAGTTACAAGCACTAAAAACATGGGGATAATAAAAAATGTACCGAATCTATGAGTGGAAGTAACTGCATTGGCTTGTAAACACTGGTACACTAACTGAAGGCAGGGCAGCTAAGGCACGCTCAGGCCAGACAGACACGTGGACGCTTTTAGGACTA